TATCACAAACTCAAAATACAATTCATAACAGCATAGTAAATACATTAAAGATTTTAACATAAATCAAACATTACAAATCAACACATACGTGAACGTTGTAACATCATGATAATACATTAAGGATTTTAAGCATTATGAATTTTCCATAATACGGAAGTATACTTCCGGTTATTTACGAAATGACTAGGTGACAGAAAAAATCAATTTTCCCCGCTCTAAAAACCAAAAACATAATAATGGTACATAATCAAAAATATATCTCCGATTTTATTTTTTATATTTTGAACGATGAACTCACACATTTGATATATATTTTGAAAAATATATGGTGTAAATCCAAAATACATTTTCAAATCTTTCTTTTAGATATATGATGGAATAAGAAATTTCCTATTTAACAATGAAATCTTAGATTCTTTAATTGTGGAGTAGTATACATCTCTCAAGATTTCAAGTTCAAATTCAATTAAACGTAAATATTGTTGAAACATATCTACATCAAATTTTGTTCCAATTTTAAATGAGACTCCCGCAAATAAACAGTATAATTAATCATTTTGAATTAGTCGATGTTACGGTTTAATACCAAAATAAATAAAACGGCCGTTATATTCTAATTTGTTTTCTTGCTAGCCTATGGATTAACAGGACAAATCATAAATGACCTACTTATGAGTACTTGGCCAACAAAACTTTACACCTTCAAATATTCACCATATATTTTTTCTGTTACAATTATTAGCTGCCAAGTTGACTGCCTCACCAATTAATAGAAAATAAGCTATGTATTCACAATAAGAAAGTGTTAAATAATTTAATATCAATTTTCATAGTACATTTTTTATGATTGTTTTAATAGTATATTTTAAACGATTCTGTCCTGTATGTATAACACACACAAAAACTGCACTTTTCAGAAGTATGGTACTAATATTCATATTGTTTCCTTTATAAAGCCAAGGTTTTTGCTTCTGTTGCATTGAAAAACAAAGCAAAAAAAGCTTAATTTCTTAAATGGCTTCACCAACTTCTCCTACCATTTACTTTCTCCTCCTAATTCTTCTTGTCTCTCTACTTCACACGCCCACTTTTGCACTGAAAAAAAAGGTGAGACATTACTTCAGTTTTCTATTTGCATTAAACTAAGAAAATCACTTCTAATGTAATCTCTACACCATTTTTGTTGTAGTCATATGTGGTTTACTTAGGAAGCCATTCACATGATTCAGAATTGTCTTCAGTTGAGTTCAATCGTGTAACAGATTCTCACAATGAGTTTCTAGGATCTTTCTTGAAAAGGTATTCTTGTGATTCAAAACCATATATATTATACAACTTTTTGTTTTGCTTTCTAATTACGTTTTCTTTGTCCTAGTTCTGATACAGCGAAAGAGTCCATTTTTTACTCTTACACAAGACATATCAATGGTTTTGCTGCAACTTTGGAAGAAGAAGTAGCAGCTGAGATAGCAAGTAAGGATTCATTTCAGAACTTTCTTCTATATATATATAGTTTATTTTTTCTTTCTCCGTTTATATATAATAACCATTTTGTTGTAGAACATCCAAATGTGTTGTCAGTGTTTGAGAACAATGGAAGGAAACTACACACAACTCGTTCATGGGGATTCATGGGATTAGAAGATGATTACGGAGTCATAACATCCAACTCAATATGGAACAAAGCCAGATTTGGTGAAGGTGTCATCATAGCAAACCTTGATACAGGTCACTTTCCTTATTTATTATTTTTTTCTAATTTTTAAGTTTTTCTTTTCAAAGATATACTGCCAACAATATGAAGTTAGATAATTGATTTTTAATAATAATTCTAGATCGTTGACTGATGAACACATGTGACAGATACTGCTCCCCACACAAATAACGATCAAATCAAAGTTTGATATTTTGTTGGTTGAAAAGGTTGAATATATAAGATTAGTATTAGCATATTGTTTGTTTGAATCTGGCCGTCATAAAGAGCGAAGAATAACGATTTTCTATTCCCAACGTATGATCGTTCTTGTCTGATATTTTAGAAATTTTGCAGCACCTTTTGTGGTTGAAATAAATTCATAGAATAAGGTTTTGTCAACGAATCATATACAGACACATGACACAGTTAAAAGTACTCTAATCAAAATTAATATCTTTAATCTTTCACTCATAACATTAGTTATATACTACATAGTTTTAGATGTACATCATAATTGTCCCAAAAAAAGTATAAAATTTATTGAAGTAAAGAAGAAGAAAAATATTTGAAACACTAGTGTGAATTGTTTCACACATATTGTATGAGTATTATACGAGTGTCGACCATTTTTGTAAAAAGTGTCGAAGTAAAGTTTAATTTTTTTGATATTTGTCGAATTTTTTCAACATGTTTAATACATTTAAAATACAAGTGTTAGATTCTGACGTGTATCGGACACCACAAGACTCTCTATAAGTGTATCACTAAAATAATCATTAATTCTTGATTGGAATGGAAGCAAAGTAATTAGTACTACTATTATGCTATGAATAAAACAAAAACTCGGGTGTGGTGGTAGATTAGTCCAATATAAGACCAATAAGAAAATAGTTATGTGGTTACATCAGCTTAATAGTTGGTATTCAAAATTCTTCGAAACTGTAGCTGTCTGTGAAATCAAAATGGGTGTGTAATAGGACCATCTAGAATCTAGATAGCTTTAAAGCCAATGGTAATGTGGTTGTTTTATTTGGAAGTGTAGAACTTTCCAATTTACTATATTCTTGTTTCTTTCTTACTTGTTATCTTATACTTTGGTCCCACTCTATTTGATTCTCTAGGCGTTTGGCCTGAATCAAAGAGTTTTAATGATGAAGGGTTTGGACCAATTCCATCCAAGTGGAGAGGAATCTGTGAAAAAGGGTCTGATCTTGCTTTCCACTGCAACAGGTGCCTTCCAAATGCATCTCTTCTATTCACTCTTTTTTTATTCTTTTACTTTCTTTTTTTATCTATTCAAAACAAGCTTTAAGTATATTTTTCATCATGTTATGAAAACGATGTTTTTCTTATTCCTTTGTGTTTTTCTTTTTATGACATAATCATGATTCATACCTTAAAGGAAGATTCAAATGCTTATTGTAGCCAAAGAAATATATTCAATTTTATTGCCATAATAGAAACAAGAATGCTAAAAGTAAAAAAAATCAAATAAAATTATGACATTTAATTGGAGGTTTGAAAATACTTAATGTAAAAACAAACTAACAAGTGTGTGGACAAAACAGGAAACTAATTGGTGCAAGGTATTTCAACAAAGGCTATGCTTCTAGGTTATCTACCCCGGTCAACTCGTCCTCTAACACGCCTCGTGACAATGAAGGCCATGGATCTCATACATTATCGACAGCCGGTGGAAACATGGTATCTGGCGTAAGTGTTTACGGTCAAGGCTATGGAACAGCAAAGGGTGGTTCACCGAAAGCAAGAGTTGCGTCATACAAAGTTTGTTGGCCTCCGATTAATGGTGACGAGTGCTTTGATGCAGACATACTTGCAGCCTTTGATATGGCTATTCATGACGGGGTTGATGTTTTGTCTTTGTCACTTGGTGGATCTGCTTCTAACTTTTTCAATGATAGTGTTGCTATTGGATCTTTCCATGCTGCTAAGAAAGGTATTGTTGTTGTTTGTTCTGCTGGCAATAGTGGACCAAATGAGGCTACCGTAGAAAATCTAGCTCCTTGGTATATTACGGTTGGTGCTAGCACGATGGATAGAGAGTTTCCTAGTTATGTTGTTCTTGGTAACAATTTAACCTTAAAGGGAGAAAGCTTATCAGCTACAAGATTAGCGCACAAATTCTACCCGATCATTAAAGCAACGGATGCTAAGTTAGCAAGTGCAACAAATGAAGACGCGTAAGTATCAAATAACCGAACATAGTATTTACATGAAGCATAAACATAGTGCTATAATTTTAATGAATAAAATTAATGTGATGTAATCAACAATGCAGTGTGCTTTGCCAGAATGGAACTCTGGATCCTAACAAGGTGAAGGGCAAGATAGTATTATGCCTGAGAGGAATAAATGCAAGAGTGGATAAGGGAGAACAAGCTCTTCAAGCTGGTGCTGTGGGAATGGTCCTTGCCAATGATATAATTACTGGAAATGAAATCATAGCTGATCCTCATGTTCTTCCTGCATCTCACATCAATTTCTCCGATGGATTAAAAGTCTTTAATTACGTCAACTCATCCAAGTAAGAAATCGAGCATAATATTTTTGTTTAGCCTTTAATTACAGAAAAAACAATGTAACACTTCTAAAACTTGATTATTTGGACTTAATTTTTAGGTCTCCAGTGGCTTATATTGCATATCCAACAACAAAATTGCATACTAAGCCGGCCCCTTTCATGGCAGCATTTTCATCCAAAGGACCAAATACTATGGTACCTGAAATTCTAAAGGTGTTGATCATCATTACTCGCAAAAACTATGGTTTTCCTCTTGTAATATATTGTCATGTGTTTGATATCTAAGAACTCTTGTTTTGATTTTCAGCCTGATATCACTGCACCAGGAGTGTCAATTATAGCCGCCTACACTGAAGCAGAAGGTCCGACTAACCAAGTGTTTGACTATCGCCGGATTAAATTTAACTCAATCTCCGGCACGTCAATGTCATGCCCTCACATTTCAGGCATTGCAGGCCTATTGAAAGCTCTGTACCCTTCTTGGAGTCCAGCAGCTATTAAATCAGCTATCATGACCACAGGTATTAAATTCTTTAAGATTCTCACACTTCTAATAGTGTGTTTGGTTTCACGTTTCCAATATATAAGATCACGGTGGCAATTGTTTTTCAATGCGAAAATGAAAAGCTACTAGTTATAGCTTCTTCCAAACGCGCGTTTATTTTGTCTCCCACCGTGATTCCAAACACACTATAAGTTCTAAACCCTTTCTTGCATACCAACTTCCAAGCAACATTAACTTTACCATTACAGCTAATGAATTTACGTGTGAGGTATAAGTAAGTATGTAAAATTTGCATACTTACAAGTTGAACTTTTTGTATGATGCAAACTTAACCAATGTAATTGTCGAATTCAAAGTTTTCATTAAGCAGATCAAATTCACAAAATTCTGTACGATTCAATGCTAAAAAAGTTATTGTTGTGAGTCTCCCGACCATATTGTATTCATCTCAACAACATGACAATCATAAATGTTCGCTATTACTTTCAGCTACAACATTAGACAACGAGGCAGAGCCAATTCTGAATGCATCCTTCATCCAAACAACACCATTTAGCTATGGAGCGGGACATGTTCAACCGAACAAAGCAATGGATCCTGGCCTTGTTTATGACACAACCATGAATGATTACTTCAACTTCTTATGTACTTTAGGCTATAATGAAACTGAAAGGTCACTTTTTTCAAATGCTACTTACCATCGCCATAAGAATTTTAGTCTCCTCAACCTAAACTACCCTTCAATCACTGTCCCAAATCTCTCTGGATCAGTGACGGTTCAAAGAACACTGAAAAATGTTGGTGCTCCAGCAACATACGTTGTCCATGTTCAGAATCCAAATGGTATAACTGTTTCTGTGAAACCAAGTATATTGGAGTTCAAACATGTTGGCGAAGAAAAGAGGTTTAAGGTAAAATTGAAGACAAAGAAAGGAAAAGCAACAAAGAGTTATGTGTTTGGGAAGATGACTTGGTCAGATGGGAAGCATTATGTTAAGAGTCCATTAGTTGTGAAAGCTATTTAGCTAGAAATTAAAGTGATTTAGCTAATTTGTTTGGTGGCTTTATTCTAAATTGTATATAGCCACTAATTAAATTTTCGTGTATGGAAATTTTCTCTTACAATGATTGATAATCATAATTGTGTAAGAGAAAATAGAATAATTAAACAATACTACTATTAATGTAGTTGATTATGTTTTAACTATCTATGTATCCTTATAGTCTATAGATTTCATTTAGCTATAGTTTAATGATTGATAATAAAGCATACTGTTCAAATTTTACTAGTAAACTGCCCCAACACTGAAACTTTGATCGAAGTATACTATTTCATTTTACTAGTAAACTTGCCCAACAAATACGAAGTTGAGGTAATCAATCATTGTTGTGTCATAAACAAGACCTGGATCCATTGCACTGTTTGGTACAACATGTCCTGCTCCGTAGCTAAATGGCGAAGCTTGGTTGTATCTCTGAAATCTTGACTTTGGTACATGGCGCTGGCCAACAGCCCACAAAAAACCAGCACAATCTACATAGACCTGAAGTTGCCACATTGCAGCACAATCTACATAGACATAGTTCTCCTCAGGAACTTGCCACATCTCAGCACAGCTGGACCAGCATCATATGGCATTGCACATGAGCATGTGTCCCCATTGATTAGAACAGTTGATTTTTATTGAGATTGTATTTCTGTGTGTCGAATATGATCACACACGGTGTATATTTATATGCAAATAGGTAATATACAATAGGAAATAATATCAATTACAGTTATGACTAATTGAATATTAATCAATACTAATTGATTGATAACAAATTCTTAACACTCTCCCTTAAGTCGGATCGTATATATTGTATGATCCGAGCTTGTTACAAATATAATTCACTTGAGAATCCTTGAGAGGCTTGGTAAACATATCAGCCAATTGATCTTCAGATTTGACAAATTCCGTGGTTATTTCTCTTGACAATACCTTGTCTCTTACATAGTGACAATCTATTTCTATGTGCTTGGTCCGTTCATGGAAAACCAAATTGGACGCAATGTGGAGTGCCGCTTGATTGTCGCATATGAGTTTTGTGGTCTGAAGGTCACCGATCCTAATTCTGAGAGCAAATTCTTAAGCCATGTAAGTTCTTTTGAGGCTGTTGTCATAGCCCGATATTCAACTTCAGCACTAGATAGTGCAACTGTGTTTTGTTTCTTGCTCCTCCATGAAATCATATTTCCTTCGATAAGAACACAATATCCAGAAGTGGATCTCCTATTTGACGGTGATCCTTCCCAATCTGCATCTGAATAACAAGTGATTTTAGCATCACCCTTATCTTCATATAATAGGCCTTTTCCTGGTGTGTTCTTTATATATCTGAGAATCCGAATAATTGCATTCCAATGAGTATCATAAGGAGCATTAAGGAATTGGCTCACAATACTCATTGTAAAAGTAATATTTGGTCTAGTGACGCGAAGATAATTGAGTCTACCCACTAGACGTTGATATCTTCCCAGTCTTTCAATAACTCCCCCTAACCCGGAAGAAGTTTGACGTTGGGATCCATAGGAGTATCAATCGGACGACAGTCAAGCATACCAGTTTCAGTTAGGATGTCTAATGCATATTTACGTTGGTTAATTGCAATGCCTAATGAGGACTGGGCAACTTCAATATCTAAGAAGTATCTGAGTGGACCTAAATCTTTTGTCTGAAAGTTTTTCAAAAGATGAGTTTTGAGTCGCCGAATACCTTATGTAACGTCTCCAGTGATAATAATGTCATCAACATAAACCACAAGAAAGATGTGTTGACCGGTGGAAGAGTGAAGGAAGAAAATAGAGTGATCTGCTTCACACTTAGTCATATCAAACTGTATCAAGGCAGAGCTGAAGCGACCAAACCAAACATGTAGAGACTGCTTCAGCCCATAAAGAGATTGATTAATCCGACAAACAAATCTTGAATTACCAGGAATAGTAAAACCTGGAGATTGATCCATATACATTTCCTCCTCCAATTCTCTGTGTAAGAAGGCGTTTTTAATGTCCAACTGATGAAGTGACCAATGATTAATAGCAGCCAATGCAAGGAAGAGACAGACTGAACTAATCTTGGCCACTGAAGAAAATATGTCACCATAATCAAGGCCAAATATTTGTGTGTATCCCTTGGATACCAAACGAGCTTTAAAACGATCAATCTAACGATTTGGTCCAATGTTCACTGTGTAAATCCATCGACATTCCACTGTAGTTTTGTCTAGAGGTAAAGGAACAATGTCCCAAGTGTTATTTGAATGAAATGCAACCATTTTTTCCATCATCACCTGACGCAAATTGGGATCAGTCATAGCTTTACCTCTAGACTTAGGAATAGACACAAAATCCAAAGCAGACACAAAAGAAACATAGGAAGTAGAGAGACGGTCATAATTTAAAGCACAAACATATTTAGGATTTGAATTATGAGATCGAATACCTTTTCGTAATGATATTGGAAGGTCAAGTTCAGGTGACGTAGCTGGAGGAAGACTTGGAGTAGGAGATGGTGCTAGTGGATCAATATCATCTCTAATTGCTGATGGACACGATGTGCGTCGTTGATATACCTGCAAAGGAGGTTTAATATGTGTGTGGATGACAGAAGGGATATATTGATCATTTAAATTACAAATCTCATGGGAGGACGAAGAGGCGGAGAAAAAAATGAGAACCTTCAAAGAATGTAACTCGGAGGAGACAATGTACCGTTGAAGTTGAGGGCAAAAACAATGATATCCCTTTTGTATACGTGAGTAGCCTAGAAAGATTCATTTGAGAGATTTAGCGGAAATTTTGTCTTTACCTAGACTAAGATCGTGAACAAAGCATGTGCAACCAGACACGCGAAGGGGGAATGGGGTAGAGATCATGTTGCACATTCAAGATAGAGTATGGAATCTGATCTTGAAGGAGCAATGAAGGTATTCGGTTGATAAGGTGACATGCGGTAAGGAGAGCATCACCCCAAAAACGAGAGGGTACATTGTGGTGAAGTAAAAGAGTTCATGCGGTTTCAACTAAATGATGATTCTTCTGTTCTGCAACATCGTTATGTTGTGGTGTATGAGCACATGATGATTGGTGAATAATTCCATGTAATGTTAAAAAAGATTGAAACTAAGATGACATATATTCACGAGCATTATTTGTGCGTAAAATTTTAATGGAAGTGTTAAATTGGTTTTTAATTTCAGCATAAAACTCTTAGAGTATACGAAAAACATTTGAACGATTTTTCATTAGAAATAACCAAGTGCATCGTGAGTAATCATCGATGAAAGTTACAAAGTCATAGTATCCTAAAGTAGACTTCACACGACTAGGACCTCAAATATCAGAGTGGACTAAAGCAAAAGGTGATGCAACACTTTTATTTACTCATTGACAATAAGTACTACGAGTATGTTTTCCTAGTTGACAGGACTGACACTCAAAAGACGAAATCTTAGATAGACTAGGAACTAAAAGACGCATTTTATTAAGACTAGGGTGACCCAAACATTGATGTGTGAGTTCTTGAGAAGCAATAGAAGCACAAGCCATCGATGGAGAAAGATGATATAATCCTCCAGCTTCACTTCCTGCTCCAATCGTCCGTCCTGTGTGTCGATCCTGGATATAAACATAATTATCATTAAAGATGACTGAACAATCAAGAGTACGAATAAGCTTGTGAACATATATTAGATTAAAGGGACAATCAGGAATGTAAAGGACAAACTCTAAAGACAAGTTTGGAAGTGGATGTGCCTGACCAAGGCCTTGAACTTTGACTTTAGAACCATCTGACACAGTGACAGAAGTCAAAGAACCAAAATAAGACAAGTGATATAAAAGAGATTTATTACTAGTCATGTGATCAGAGGCACCAAAGTCAAGGACCCAAAGACCAAAAGAGATGTAGAGGCTACAGGATTACCCGACTGAGCAACAACGGCAAATGATGATAGTTGATGGGATAATTTATATTGAAGGAAATCATTGTAATCAACGACGAGAATAGTGACATCTTTAGTGATATATGGTTGAGCGACGAATAAGATCTGTGGTTGTCGTTGTTGTTCTCTTGCCTTTGTACGACAATCGACATCAATGTGACTGTAACGATTGCAATAGTTACAACGAATACCATAACGCCCACACCGTCCTCTGGTTCTTCCACCACGACCATGATAGTGGGAAGCAAGAGCAGATGGTTCAATGGAAGATGATGTAGGAACCGGTCCAAAAGCATGAGGTGTAGCCAAGCGTAATAATTGTTACGCTTACTGCTTCATTGTTAGGAATGTTGGTTCTTGATAAAATCTGATTCCTAACAGAATCAAGTTCAGATGGCAGTCCAACAAGTACCATGACCATGAAGTACTTACTTTGTTGTTCAAGATAAGTTGTTGCGCCTTTTGTAAAGGGCATTAAGGTTGTGAAATTTTCTTTTAACGCATCAAGCTTAGTCGGATAGCCTTGCATATCCATATTCTCCGATTGCAAAGAGCGGAATTTGGTGATGACACTATAAAGATTGTGGACATCATTTGAGAAGACTTTCTTAACCTTTTCCCAAATCTCATAGCAAGTGGTAAAGGCTTGGTACCGTGCTTGGGGATTTGTTGCTATGAAAAACCATAACAAAGTTCATAGAGAAGCATCAGTTTGTTTCCACTTATCGCGTTTGGCGGTGGGAATAGAATTAACTTTTGTAGTTAAGTGATCCTCATATCCATGACCTTGAAACCACATATTAACGACATTAGTCCATATGTTGTAGTTGGTTGTTCTGGTTAGTTTCTCACACAGAATAAGTGGAACTTTAGTGAACGCGGCGTAATCGATATCTCCCATGATATTTGATGGCTTGGAATGAAAAACCGAGAGCAGATCTGAAAAGAGGATCGGAAAACGAGTCTGGCGATAAAAACAACGACGAAGGGGAACGGTGGACGTGCAGATGGTAGGGTGGCGCGTGAGCTTTACGTGTAGGAGATGAAGTGGCGCGTGAGAACGCATGTGCATGCGGTTGGCGGCGTTGTCGGATTTCGGTCGACCTGGAGGAGACAATTCCGGTGGTATAGATACCTCGCCAGAAAGTCTTCAGGAGCGGCGGCGAACGCGGCTGGCAGTGGTGGTGTTGTGGGTGGTCGGAAAAAAGAAGAGAACATTTTTTTTGTGATAGACAGTAGGTCAACCAGCTCTTTATACCATATTGAGATTGTATCTGTGTGTGTCGAATATGATCACACATGGTGTATATTTATATGCAAATAGATAATATACAATAGAAAATAATATCAATTATAATTATGACTAATCTTCATCTAAAAGTCACCCGCGTTCCACGCTTTTTAAGGCCGAGGAAAATTACAGTCTCCCTTATATAAGTGTGGTCTAGAGTCACACTGATGAATAATTCAACTCTACTATGCAAAATTTGACATCAATCTCATATTAACCTAGAGTGTAGAAATGCTAACCTTTTTTACAAATACACTCTTCTCTGTTAGTAGAGAACCATCACTTCCGCATCGAAAGCTTACGACAGTAACCTTTGTCATCATGTGAGTCATCCTCTTCTTCAATGTAGGACAATACATGTTTCAATATGCTTATTTGTTTCTTAGTGGTTATCTAAATTTGGTCCCACTCCATTTAATTCTCTAGATTTTTGACCTGACACAAAAAGCTTTTGTGATAAGTGTTTGGGCCAATTGACCAATACTATCCAAGTGGAGAGGAATTTATGAAAAGGGGGAGTGATCTTGCTTTCATTGCAAGAGGTACCTTGCAATGAATCTTCTAATTACTCCTTTAACTTTTTTCTCATAGTTTAGATGTATTTTTGTCCATGTAAAATATTCAACTTTTCGTTTTTAACCTTTAAAAAAAAGTTCCTGTTCCATTAAAAAATAAAAAGGGATGCTTTTTAACATCTCTACATAATTGCAATTTGTTTTCTTTTATGTGTGCTCAAATCTCTTTTTTTTTCTTTTACACAATCATACCTTAAAAGATCCAAATCGTTGTCAATTGTATTGCAACTTTAGAAACACCAATGCTAAAAGTAAAAAAGTGGTCCAAATCATATTAATCTATAGCTTTAAACAAAAGAGAATATTAAGTTTTAATTAAAAAAGAGTCGGTTACAGATAACAAACTGCCAGAACTGATTCGAACCGGACTAAACTAGATTAACCATAGACCGGTCCGGTTTATTAAAACCCGGTTCACGAATGAACAAAAAAATTCTTTTGTTTTTCCCCAAAAAATCGAATCCGAAATTGAGAAATTAGGTTTTCTCCTTCACACTTCAGTTTGCATTCACTTCGTTGGATATTTCTTTGATTCGAAGTTCGTCACTCCGTACGCGTCCACACCGTCACATCATTCACCTTCGCACAATTAGGTTTGTCTTTTTGAATCTTCTGCTTTTCGATTTTGTTTCTTTACTGTATTGGGTGCTGAATTTTGTGTTTTTATGAATTTACGAAATATTGTGTTTTTGGTGAAGGGTAAGAAGATGGAGAATGAGGTGTTGGATGCAGAGTTAGTGTTGCCAAACTATCTCAGTTTTAAGAGAGTTCAAATGTATGACAAATACCCTAAAGGCCAATCTAGAGGCAGACACTGGAAACATCTTAAGCAGATTATTCAGGCTGAGAATTACCAGAATTACCCTCCCGATGAACCCAATTGTGAGATTATCATACCAATTTCTTTTCTTTTATCGATGCTTTGTTAAGAGTTTATAATTTGTGTTTATTGGGAATTTTAACTGTGATCAACACTGGTGTGCTGTTTGGAAAAAATTGTGTTAATGTTTTAATTTCAGGGGAAATATTTTCATATCACCTGCATACTGTGTTACGGGCCCTTATTTCTGAGAGGAAAAAGAAATTTTTTACTTTGTTTTCTGTTTTGGCCGTTAATTTGAAAATAATAAAGTTGGAGATTGTTGTGTCAAGGAAAAGGAGGCTAACTGTGGGGAATTTGGTGTTGGGGAATGATTTTTCATGGGCACGTCTTTGCATTACATTTGTTGGATGATAACTTCTAAGATTGTTTTATGGGCTCTTTTTGGTTATTGCTCCTGGATGTTCTAGGAAGTGTATCTCCATACGCAGATCGCAAAGAGATTTTGAGCAGCTTTACTGTAATCTTAGGCTTTTACATGTAGTTTTGTTATTTGTATTTTCGTTTTTGGTGGATATGTTCTCTCCCTCTAATTGTTTTTTTTTCCTCTCTTCAATAACATTTATTCTTTCATTTTGTAATGTAAAAGCAACAATTGAAAAAATTTGAATTGTTTAACTTCAATGTTGGAGACTCCATTGTGCTAATTTTTGTTGTTTGCGTGCCTTCCATGTAAAAATCTTAATTTATTTTTTATTGAATTGTTTTGTAGATGTTAATATTGAGTCACCTCCTTCCATGCATCCCTGCAAGAGAATTTGCGATATTACTGGCTATGAGGTATGTAGTGATCTTTTTTACTCTTGTTTAGTAGTGTTTCTCTGCAAGAGGTGGTGTTTTCCATTTGAAGAAGAAGTTTGCAAAATCTCTGTTTAAAAGGATATTCTTGCATTCTTATTTTAGATGCCATCGTGGTGCTGTCGTTTTAAGCACAAAATGTTATGCAGGCTTGACTTAAATATTCCTTAACATTTTCTATTGAATTAACTTCATGCTTAAACAACAAACAACTAAAACTTGTCTATGGACATTACATTGCCTTGTGTGAAGCATGTCAATTTATTAAATTATTTAACCAATTAACAAAATGTTATTGGTGATGATAAGCATTTTTACTAGAGAATTAACTAATCAATTTACCTTGCAGGCACCCTACTATGATCCTAAGACTAATCTCCGGTATGCAAATACTGATGTTTTCAAGACAATCAGATCGCTTCCTAATGATTATGTGCAAAGATACCTATCTATGAGGAATGCAGCAGTCGTTCTTAAGTAGTTCTATCACTTAGCCTTAGCCTGTGACACCTTATTCTTGTTCCTTGATGTTTCTTTTATCAAGTGCTGTATTGAATCTTCTTCCATGTTAAATAGATTTAGAGGGTGTTTGAAAGAGCTTACAGATGATTGGCAGAATGTTTGTAAATTACTTATATGGAGTTAAATTACGATTATCAGTTGCATAATCTTATTCCATATATGCCTGAATAGCTATCAGTTGCTTTCTTGTAGGGCAAACATTTATAACTTGCCTAAGGGTGCATTGCATAAGCTTTCAATGTGAGCGAAATTAAGCTAAACATTAACTATAAGACTAAATCTACGATTTTTTTTTTTATCAAACCATAAGAACAGTCTAGTGAAGTTGCAAAATCATGACCAACAGGTGAATATTGATTTCCAGTATTGGAAGTGGTACTTATTTAAAATGAGTAAGCTGTAAAAGTATACAAGAGCTTCTTAATTTGCGATATCATTTTGTCTGATAGATATACAGATCATATTCCCCGCTTTAGCCATTGGACTTGAGGGTTCTTTAACTTGGTCTTCTACCATCATCAAGTAACAAAAAATGCAATCCTTGGTTTTAGAAAGGAAACAAGAAACAAGAGACTTTAATGTCACTGACTCTTACCGACCGCAGTTGAGGGATTATCTTCTGAAATGAAAAAAAAAAACCATATTTATATAATTGAAACCGCACGTTCTATTTAAGATGGAGGAAGGGTATCATAACTCACCAACTGACATAGGATCAATATGTTCAAAATAACTGGCAGAAACTATCAAATAGCAAAGAATGAGCACTATTCCTTTGAAGTAGTTGGAACTTCCATTCTGCATTTTGAAACAAAGCTCAAGTAAAAATCAAATCCATGCATATATAGGTAGTATCTATCAGACACTACATTAAGACAAAAAAAGTACAATTTCAGTTTTAGTATACTTGTCAAATTAAGGAGAAGGAACTTAGCTCAGAAATCGACTTACTTGCAACATGAAGTTTACTATAATAACTGACATGAAAAGAGAAGTTGTTTCAAAAGGCTGAAAATTTAAGTCCATAGGGCATCCGATCATCCATCCAACAACCACGCAAAATGGAATCTGCAGCGAGTACGGTAATAACCATGGATATGCAATAAAATGATCAGCAGAATCACATTTGTGTTTGGGTCAATATGTATATAATAAAAATTATACAGAAAAAAAGGCAAAGGGCAACAGTTGCGTCGCTACTCCTAAACAAAATAGAACAGCAAATATTATTGAGAAAAATCTTACCATAAACATTGATATTTGTATTGAAGATCCTACAGCCACGGCCAGCGATATATCCTACAGGGCCGGTTGGAAAATTACACTCTTGCTCATCTTCATTTATCATTAATAGTATTCTGCCTCCTACAAATTTGTCTTTGAAAGCACTAGTTATAGATAATACTTACAAGTTTGTCTTTGACAGCAAACATAACAGATCCAACATGTTCTGCAGCATTCCCAACTACTGGAAGAAGAATAACACTTAGAAATGACACAGGCATTTGAAATTCTTTTGATGCCCCCTGAAAAAAAATTTATCTTACAACAATAACTTAGGCCATAAAAATACAAACAATAGAAAGGAAAAAGTAAACAAAGAACATGCTTGTTACCTCTATGGTTTTAACCAAGTATTCTGACAAGATAGATATACCTCCTGTTAAAATCGAAATCCATATCATTGATTCCCACATCGAAATCGCAGGAGCTTCAGCGTCATTCGAAGTATCCTCATCGAAACCCTTGTCCTAAAATCATTAATAACATCTATAGATCAAAATTAATCTGAGTACAATTCTCATAGTTCATTAAGAAAAAGGGAGCTATTAAGGCTTAACCTCATAAACTGGAAGTTCTAAATTCTTCTGACTCTTCAACTGAAACACTATATATGAAGCATATGCCACAAGCATAATGCAACTAGTAAATCTTGAAAGAGATAACTGAGACTTTCCATATTCTAATTCTGTTTGTGTAGCATGGAGAACCGCTGGAAATAGCAGGCCCATTACCGCCATCAACAACAATCCGAAATCCACACTAGTATCTGCCTGATGATCAGTTAAGGTCAATTTCTGCTTTACGAGAAAACAAACTCGGAGAAATGGAAATTTGTTTTAATAGAACAAAACCATACATGGTTAAATACTTGTTCTTTCTTATGAAATACTAATCCACCAGCAAATAATGCACATCCAAGTACTAGCAACAGGTTAGACAGAATTGAGCCGAGTAACGATTGTTGAACAAGACGAATCAAGCCACTTTTGAGGGCGTGAATTGATATAATCAACTCCGTTGCATTTCCAAATGTGGCATATAATAAACCACCAACTGCAAACTCATATTGAAAATAAAGTAATTAAAATAACCTGCTAAGTACTAACAATTCTGTGACAAAGTATTGGCAGAAACTCAAATTCTTCGCCCCTCAGATGTCACGGTACTACTTCGATGTAATTGAAAACTGGAAAGCTAAAGTTACCTGCCGGTCCAGTAAAGAGGGCCAGCTGCCTGCATCAAATGCAGTCGAAAAAACAGAATAAGTATCACATTTTTTTCAACTTCTTCACCGAAAGACGGATAAGAATTAAGGTTCGAATATGCATAACTTACTCGGTTGTATAGCCTAAACGCTCGGCCAAGGGTATAATACCTAATAAGCTGAAAACAAAAACCCAACCCTGAAGCACATTTGAAGAAATCAAAAGTTGCGCGTTTTACAACCGAATCAATATTTAGCAATCAAAAGAATGAAGAAACTTACATGACTATGAAACAATCTATCTACCAAAATCGCCATAGGACCAAAAGGCATGAGCAAGTTTATCTTGGTTGAAAGCACTACAACTTTTATGCTACTAAGCACCTTACTTATTACATTTTGTGAAAAATTCCCATACTCATGATCAATTGGTGAATCTTCTTCGAAGGATACATCTTTTCTAGGAAATAAAGAAGGATTTAGTAGAATCGCGTTTTCGAGTTCTATCACCCCTTTTCCCTCTAATGATCCCACCTGCACAACCATATCTTTCTTAACACAATGATATCATTGAATATAGAAGAAAAAAACTATCAAGTGCATGCATTAATGTAAATAATCTTCAATTAGTAAGATATATTAAATTTTTATATACATAAATTATAGTAACGAATAGAACTTTCGATTTCTTTTGAGAATTAGAGAGAATCTCTGATCTGTATACAATGCTTACAATTAGATACAACATTAATAAAATGAATGTAACTTAGTGATCAAGAAACTTTTACGACGTACCGAGATAGCCCTCTTCATATTGTTATCGTATAATCAATCTGAACATGATAAGATATAAAATATGAGTGAGTAATCAGAGAGAAATTAACTGATAAAGTTTATCAAAAAAGAGTAACAAATCATAGAGATCTAGGTGCAGGGAAGACATGATATGATAGAAGAAATTAAGAATTGAATTTATCAAAATTCATATTCCACGTGGCTTGGATGGCGCCAACATCGCCTAGTTTTCTTTTTAATTTGTAAACATCTCCAAGTTCTCATTAAAACGTTTTGAAATGATTTTTATAAAGAGTGAGACTTCTCATCTTACTATTGAATTTGTTAGGAATTAGGTAGATTTAATATAAAACTGAATATGGTATCAAAAAATTTCTATTTAAATTGCATACTATATATAGATACGTTTCATGTTCAATATTCAATAGTGCTGAAGGTAAGTATTGAGAAAAAAAATACAAATGTTATATAAATGTAAATAAAGTGTAAAATGATTTTATATAAAATGAGATCCTTTACTTTAAAAATTGATTTTCTAAAATTAAGTTAAGGGTCTGTTTATTTTAGCTTTAAAAAAAATAGATTTTTTTATTTATATTTTTGAAAATAGATTTTACAAAATTGTTTTTCAAAATATTATAAATTTTTTAATATTTTTTTTCTAACTTGAAACACTAATTTTGACATCCTATAACATAAACACACATTATTGAAGATCAAAACATAGCCAAAATCGTAATTTTTTTAAAAAGTTATATTTCAAAAATGATTTTTATGAAAATCTATTTGAAATAGTGATTTTTTAAAATTTTGATATCTAAAAATTTTTTCAATAAAAAGTTGAAATACCTATAATAATATTTTAAGAATAACTGTTCGAACCAAATTTTCATTTGAAGCTTTTGTGAAAAGTTTCTTTGTAAATTTTTTTTACACAAAATTATGTTACACTAAAAATCATTAAAAAAAAAGCTAAAACAAACGGCCCTAAATCTAATATAAAACATATAATTTAAATGAACATAAGTTGTTGGTTCAAGGTTCAATGATTGGCGGTAGCATCTATTTATATTTATGCATTAATATAATCAAGTTGTTGATATTTATAAAGCAACTATTTTTTTAACAAAATATAGACGATATATTTACATTAACCAGTCGGATCAAGTGTCTTTTTAGGGTAGGTCCACGCTTGTCTTCGAAGTCCTATATCATTGCTTTGGTGTACAACTTTGGGTTTGATATTATGCCCTTTGATGTCATTGATTTAATATCCTTAGGGTATACCATTATCAATGCCTCTTGCTTTATTGGGTTTCACATCTTTGGATTCTGAATCGTCTTGGACCGTGATATCGGTTGTGAACTGGTTAGGAATAGTTGCCCCTTAAGTTTGGTCTGATGTAGCTAGGGTGTGGCTTGCGATCTTATATCATCTTCAACAATCAAGTCAGTTAAGAGAGTGAAAAAATGATATACGAATGAGAATGAATTTGAAAAAAGTGATGTGTTTCTCCTCTTAAATAGAAAGAAAAAACGAATGGCAATTGAAAGAATGAAGTGAGGTGTGAATCATGGTCAGCCATCAAATAGATATAAATAGTCGGGTGAGGCTCTTGTCGACATAATAGCCTATCTCTAGGGAGAAAAAGGTTCGTCTGTTATGCACGTTTGATTGCTTCTGTTATGCCATTGGTCTTCTTTATCTTGAGTCGTACACACAACTTAAAACAGGAGGATATGTTTAATGTTAACGACATATCATTTTGAATTTGATGTTTTTTTTTAAATTATAGGTATTTTGTTGCCCTCTCTGAAAAGAGATGCGATGATTGTTTAGTTTAGAGAGAAAATACTAATGATAAGTTTACTACTATTTCAACTTATAATCTATTAAGGGGAAGTGATATGCACATATCATGCCTTATTTGAAGAAAGTTATGGGTATGGGAAGGAAATGTATAAAGCATTATCTTATGTGGAAGGAAATGTATAGAGCATCATCTTAATGTGTTTCAATTAAAAAATATGCAAGTCTCCATTTTAGAATATGGGTGCAACCAATGCTCAATACTACAGAAAATACCTTTAGTCAAATAATATTACAACAGACTTTTATTAGCCATGGTAGAATTTCGTTTTTGGATGATTTTTTTAGTTTTTACTAAAAGATATTTTACTACTGTCATTGTTAAAACCTTTAGTGAAATGTACCCGAAGTTACACGGTTGGAAATCACAGCTCCTTCAATTTCCCACTTTATCGTCACAAAAAGGGAATATCCTTGTATATCACCACAGTTATTCCAGTCAACCATTGTGTAAAGTCCAATCATTTCATCACGGTTCTTCTTATCAACCGTGACGAAAAATGATATATATATATATATATATATATATATATATATATATATATATATATATATATATATATATATATATATATATATATATATAAGCGAAAAAATCTCTCACTCAATACATAACAGTCGTTTCTCTCAAAAGAAAACTTTAACATATTTCACTCTTATCACTCAAAACATAACCCTAACATCCATGTCACTCATCACACATACGATAACTTTCAGATTCGTCTTCACTGTTAGAAGAAGATTTGGTTCTGCAATTATACCTCTGAGTTTTGATGATAACAACGAGTATGTTTGTATGAATAACTTTGGCACTCTAATATTTGTTATTTTTAGTATTTAACAAACAAATTTTGTTTCTGATGAAAGGCGTCGTCAAGTCATTAAAAGAGACCAAGTTTCGCTTCTGTGCTACACAAGTTCTGATGAACGATAACAAACCACTTCAGAAGGCTCTGAAGTTTAGACTATGATACGTGATCAAAGAAACCAAGTTTTGAAGATCTGAAGATAGAAGATCTGATGAATAGTCCAGATGCTGAAGACTTATGTTTCTGAAGACCAAGTGTTGAAGACTCTGAAGACGAAGTTCTGAAGACGATGAAGACTTGAAGCTCTGATGACCCAAGTGTTATTTTCTTTCTTCTAACTCATGCTCAGTCAGAAGCCTATGAAGTCAATAAGATAAGAAGATAAGGTTACGTGGTACAATAGTACATGGTACAAACAGACATTTCTCTCCACTACCATGAAAGGACAAACGCATTGTACGATCTTGTCCCCCACGTTAAAACAAGTTGCCAGCTTTCTAGAATTTCTAGAAATGCCCTCCAACGGATATTTTATCTTACTGGCTATATATATATATATATATATATATATATATATATATATATATATATATATATATATATATATATATATATATATATATATATATATATATATATATATATATATATATATATATATATATATATATATATATATATATATATATATATATATATATATATGCTTGAAGATAAAGGAAAAAGGTTGCTAATTCACACGTTCTCTCACAAGACTGTTCATAAGCATTCCTTTATTTTCTTAAGTCTATTTGTTCTTGAAATACTGTTTACTATCAGCTTGTGTATAAGCAAATCTATTGTAAACAAATCTTTAATGATCCAAGATTATAGCAAAAATGTCAAAAATCAGGATTTCTTATGCCTAGGCTGACACGGGTCGTGTCACCGGACACATGCACCTGTGTCAGAATCTGCCCTTGCTCCTCTACAAATTTTTTGTTCCATCCAAATTGACACGGGCCGTGTTGTGCGATACGGGCACCCGTGTCAGAATCTGCTCTTTCTCCTCTACACATTTTTTATTCCATGAGCTTGTATCTTCAAATCTAAGCATTTTTTGAACATTAACCCTCTAATACAAAGTTATAGAATTCATCAAGATCTACAACTTTCATGTTGAAAGTTTTCTTTGAATCATCTTGCATCTTGGTGAAAAATTGTCATGAAGTAGTGAAATTATCAAGGTTAAAAACACTTAGAATTTTCCTAAGTCTTGGAAATCTTGACTTTTTGTTGGCTTTTTTTATTTTCTTGATTCTTGATGATCAAGTTTGACATTTTTGAATATCTTGATAAATTTTGATCTTTGAAATTTAATATTGACCAAAAAGTCAAAGTTTGACTTTTTGTGTATCAGTTGACTTTTCGTCAGTTGATCCAAATTTCAACTATCAAACCTTTGGTCCTGAGAAATTATTCGAGCCATGAAATCAGGTCAACATGTTGTGTTTGAGCCCTTGAGATTATGCTTCAAGTCATTAGGTCATGTATTAGGTCAAAAGTCAATGATCAGTCATTCTCAATCAAAACCCTAATTTGGAGGCTCAGTGCTTGGGAGGTGAGCTTGTCTGATCAAACTCTTGAGAACCCTTAAGAATTTAAGATCTTTGGTGAGAAATATCTTGAGAAAAGAGAGGACAAATTTTAGGGTACAACAATTGCCCTTGTTCAATCTTCTTAAACATGAAGAGTTAGATTGGTATGTTCGTCATTCATAACTTGAAGGTGGAAGATGATTCAACACAAAAGTGCCCAGAAATTTGCACTCACTGGTGCACTATGTAATTTTGTTAGTTGATTGTGTTTGGAATTGGCTTAAAGATGCCATTTGGAGAGGTAATGAAGAATTATCGGAGATAGGCTTATAGATGCCATCCAAAGGTGACAAAGAATCGTTGGAGATGGGTTTATAGATGCCATCCCGAATGACTGTTGGTAAGTCTAGTGCTTGACTTGAACTTTAAGATATGTATCCGGAAAAGAGTCTACATGCAACTACTACTTCAATGGATAATGAAGGAATATGTGGCGACTACTACTTTAATAGGTAATGAAGGAATCTATGACGACTACTACTTCAACGAGTAATGAAGGAATCTATAATGACTACTACTTCAACGTGTAATGAAGGAATCTATGACGACTACTACTTCAATGGGTAATGAAGGAATTTATGAAGACTACTACTTCAACGGGTAATGAAGGAATTTATGACGACTACTACTTCAACAGGTAATAAAGGAATCTGTGGTGACTACTACTTCAACGGGTAATGAAGGAATCTATGACGAATACTA